GAGACACAGAGTTTGACCAGCACAGCTGGAGACGAATCTCCAACTGCAGGTTATCTACCAACCTCCCCACGCGGTCAGATGTAGCACAATGCCGAATTCAATATGGGGTATTCGAGCCCGTAGTCTCGGCCAAAAATTCTCCGTTGACCCAGTATAAAACAGGTCGAGTAGCTGTTTCCCGAGACAAGACTTTACCCTTTGACATCTGGGGATCCTCTGGGGATCCTCTCTGCTCAGAGGCAGAGAGTTTGACCAGCATAGCCGGAGACGAATCTCCAACATACAGTATTTACTACTGTATTTATGTGAAAGGGGACATACCTATTATCGTCCATAGATATGCTACAACAATATATATATATATATATATATATTTATTATACAGTTCAAATGTGTGAAGCGACCCACAGAATTAGCAAGGGATGGACTTGATAGAAGAGTTAAAAAAATGAAAAAGAGTTCTTAGAGGCATTGAAAAATAATCAAGCTTATACTTTGAGAAACTTTTCAACGAATGCCAAAAATTTGTGCTATAGTAATTATGGCTAAAGGGGGATATTTTGATTGGTGCAAAATGTAATCATAAATTTTCTTTTTTCTTTTTGTCATAATAAAATTTCTAATAAAAAATCACGTCTCACTTTTTTAATCATCTATAATAATTTCCTCTTATAGTACAAGAGAACTACTTTTGGGGCTAATTTTTAAAAATTACCAGGCGTCACCTCAATCTTTTGAATTGTAGTTTATATATGACATATTCTTAAAGAAGAATATAAACTCTCCGGCAATCCTACTGAAGATTGCATATTTTCTTAAATAAGGTTTCTCGAATAATATTTTTTCTAAATAAATCCACATTACAACCAAAAACGTTTGCGGCAACTCTCTTCTCTTCTTTTTAATATATATATATATATATATATATATATATATATATATATATATGTGTGTGTGTGTGTGTGTGTGTGTGTGTGTGTGTGTGTGTGTGTGTGTATAGATAGATAGATAGATAGATAGATAGATAGATAGATAGATAGATTATACGAACATAGTTATATAGATTATGTAAAGGTATGTTATCGTTATGGGTAAAAATACTCAATATCAAAGATTTAGTGTAAATAAACATAAAAGTGGACAAAAGGCTAGTATGAAAACTGTCAATATCCGGTTGTGAAAATCAGTTTCCACACACACACAAACACACATTATATATATATATATATATATATATATATATATATATATATATATATATATAGTCCCCTCCAGAAGTATTGAGATGGTAATGCCAAATCCTTTGCTTTTACTCTTCACTGAAGACGTTTGTGTTCAGAATCAAACAAATGTAAATAACAGAAAATAAAAGTTAAAATTCAGAACTATTGTCTCATATTCATCTTTTGATTCGCACTACAGTAAGAATGATCTGTGGGGTGCATTTGTCAGCCGCAATCGCTACAAAGTACCCTATAGAGATAATCCCCATAATAAATATTTGACTTTGTATCTCTTCTTCACTTGTGCGTATGTGTGCGTGAAGTCAGAAACCCAATATAAGTACTGACCAAGATAAGCAGTGACCGAGTTTGCTTTTTGTGGGTCAGTAAAAGATTAAACTAGTCTGGTACAATTAATATGCTATGACCTTAAAGTACTGACCAGATTTCGATATGTCCTAGTTTCAATAATCAGACAAAAACTTGCCGTTCATCAGTTTTATCTCATTTAGTTTTACACATTTTGGTACAAGGCCAGCCTGTATTCCTAAAAGTTAAAAAAAAAGATTGAAAACTTTAAAACCTGTTCAACTTGGCCGCTCAAAATATTTCCAATGCTTTCAATGTGATTTGATTATGTAAACATTGTCATGCTTCATTTCTATGTCGATGTATTTGTATATCTTTTTTCAAAATAACCGGGAGTAATTTTTGATACAATCATTTGCATTAGATGGGGAACGCAGATGGCTTTTAAACTTGTATTGTCAATTATTCTCGTGAAAAAGAATTTGACTATCAACGGATGATTCACTATACCACACTATCACCAAATTTCTTGGTCCTGGGCATGACGATAAACTACATCCGGCAGCAAGGTCTCTGATCGGAAGATTGGAGGTTTTGAGAAGTATGAAACCACCTCTAAATTGCTGACCCAGTATTGTAGCGGTATCAGTGCCACCCGATATCTTATTAAAGGAAAACATATGATTGTATCGACAGATATTATCTTAGTAAAGAAGGTCGGCTTAATGCAGTGGACCTCCCAAGAACTATGTCAAACGATGCTGGCAATGTAAGTCACTGAGTGAAGAAGAACCTGATTTCTTGATGAATTACTTTTTTTTTATACAGAGATGACAAGACAAAGAACGCTGTTCTTTATAAGACAGTGGTTCATCGCAGCAAAACAGAGAAAGGACACTGAAAGGCATAGAGAAGGGCAAGAAACCGCTTACTGCGTTAGACTGTCGCCCTCTCAATACGCCTCACCTCCGCCTCTTTCATATACAGCGGAAGGCTACAGCTAGAATACAATTTGCCTACTGCTACAGTCATCTCATATTTTTATTTCATGGATAATGTTCTGATCACAGAGGTATTTTTAAAGTACAAGCGTTTGAATGGAACAAGCTGCACACTGAAAACGAACTTGGTGTCTGGTGTTAGCTGCAATGCAACAATACTATCCTATACGATCGCTGAGCTAAGCTTACTAAATATCTACTTTGGGATTCTGCCTTAGAGTGATGGTCAATAAGTTTCTTTTTCTGACATTTTTATAGAAATACAAGTGTCAAGAGCTACTCAAGTTACAGTTTGACTATTAAAATTGTTATACTAAAATGTGGTGTGTGATATGAATGAAAGAGGAGATGTTAGGAAGGAGTTATAACGAACTGATGATTATCAGGATAAGGTGGATAGATAACGATTGACCGTTGATTGAAGAGTGTAGGGCTATTCATCAGTGTAGCGGTACCTGGGAAAAAGCTGCCTAGTGAGACTTCCTTCTTATGTCTGCAATACGAGGGTAATGCAAGTAATTCAACTTGCGCAGCATTTTGTGTCATTTCTATAATTGTCTAAACTGGCGTAACTAAAGAATAAAGCTCATTAAAAAAGATATGGATTGTGATAACACAGCATCATTCTCCTTCTTTGTTTTTGGATCGGATGAAAGGCGAAACACGTAATCAAATCTAGTTTCAATGAAACGTTTGCCATTAGTCTCTTCTAATCACTGTCGGAATTTTGTCTCCTATTTTAAACACACACACAACACACACACACACACACACACACACACACACACACACACACACATTATATATATATATATATATATATATATATATATATATATATATTGTTTCAAATTTGTTGTATCGCAGGTGGTATATATATAACAGTGTATTTATTTATGTTCGTCTACCGGCCTGAATATTCAAGAATTCTTATTAAAGAAAAATATGTAGACTTTAAAATCCTGCCGGTGGGTGCGTATATATATATATATATATGTGTGTGTGTGTGTGTGTGTGTTTTTGTGTGTCTGTGTGCGAGTGTGTGTGCGTGTGTGTTTGTGTGTACACTACAGTTCAAAGGTTTAATAGGGTCCTGTCAATTTTTTTAATTGGACCCAGAATTTAATTTTTTAGATTAACCCAGTATATATATATATATATATATATATATATATATGTGTCTGTGTGTGTGTGTGTGTGTGTGTGTGTGTGTGTGTATTAAATAGTGTATTTATTTATTTTCATCTACAGGCCTGAATATTCAAGAAATCTTATTAAAGAAAAATATGCACGGAGATGTTCATATTCTTCTATAATGACATGTCATATATAAACTACAGTTCAAAAGTTTGAGGCGACGCCTGGTAATTTTAGTAATTGACCGCAAAAGTTGTGTTTTGTAATTTAAATAAGACAAAATTATTATAGATGGTTAAAAAAATTTTTTTGTTTGTTTGTTTTTATTAGAAATTTTATCATGACAACAAGAAAAAAAAACCATTTCATGGTTAAATTTTGCAAAAATGAACATCCTCTTTTAGCCTTTAATTACTTTTTTCAGATTTTTGGTATTCTTTACAAAAGTTTCTCAATGTATAAGCTCGATAATTGATTACATTCTTTTTTTCAATGACTCTAAGTTCTTGTTTTCATTCCTTTGACTCTCTGTCAAGTTCATCCAATGCTAATTATGGGGGTGCTTTCAAACTTTAATATATATATATATATATATATATATATATATATATATGTGTGTGTGTGTGTGTGTGCGTGCGCGCGCGCGTGTGTGTATCTGTGTCGGTGTGCGTGTCTGTGTGTGCATGCACAAACATTAAAAATATTATATACATTTCAAGTTACCGTCTCCTGTGGTGGAGGATATTTTATTTAATGTGGGGTGTTTAATTTTAATAATAATAATAAATAATATATAATAGTAGATACATGTGTTTTGAGTCCTTCCTTGCATTAGATGTTGTAAGATAATTTGATATTAACCACTAATATTTGTCTTATTTCGATATTTGTATTTCCTTCGTTCGTAGGTTGGTGGTCGATATATGCTCCGATTTTCGACAGGTGACATATCAGTCTGCTAGAGAGTATAGAGTATGGGACATACCTTCGTTTGTTTTTTGTTTTTTTATCAGATCACCTCATTTTTAGGTGAGCAAAAATAAAGGCACATATAGAGAGAATTGAATGGTGTCTTGGAATTATAAATTTTAGAAATGCAATTGGATAATGAGATCTACAGCCGCTTGCTGTTTAGAACAGTGTACACTTTTATATATACATAAGCTGTATCACCCTGCATTGTAATTGTCAGTTTTCTGTATAATCGTCTGTATATCGATTTAAGCTATCTACAGACTATATATATATATATATATATATATATATATATATATATATATATATATATAATTAAACATTTGTGTCTACAGATAGATAAATATGAACAGACTGAAATAGCTATGAACAGACTGAAATAGATAGATAGATAGATAGATAGATAGATAGATAGATAGATAGATAGATAGATAGATAGATAGATGGATGGATGTGAACAGATTAAGATAGTTAGATGGATAAATATGAGACTGAAATAGATAGATAGATAGTCGTATTTATATATTACTTAGTCATGTTTATTGTAGATAACATGAATCTATATATAAGATCAAATTAATAAAACAAATTGACCGAAAACCTTGTTTGCATTCGCCTTCTATAGGCTGTAATTGTATAAAATTTTAAGTCGATCTTAGATCGCTCTGATTTTTTTGAAGCTATGAACCTTTTGTATTGTCGTTTCTTTTACGTTTTTTTAAGGCCTAAAATATTTATATTTTTTATATACCAGCAAGCACATAGAAAAACATCATATTACAATGCAGGCATACACGCATATTAATTTTAACAAATAAAAACAACAACCTGGAAACGTACCAGAAATACGCACAAAACGGTAATACTCAACTCTTTATAACAGAAAATCACAAGAAATCTAAATAGCATAAAAAGCGATAAACGCATAGCCGTGACGTTGTAACTAGGACACCCACATAGAACAGGATGGTGGGAACCTCGGCATGGTGTAATGGTGAGCTACCTTGGTTTCGCTAGATCAGTTACGACTGAAAAGTAAGTTCGATCCTCACTAAGTGAACCATGCTACGCTTAGAAAATAACCATAGAAAAGTATGGTAAATTAACTTATCTCAAGTGTTGTTTTTTAATGACCGGCAATGAAGTCTGTGAAATAGCATTTTCATCAGTAAACCAGCCACTTGGTTAAAATAAAACAAAATAATAAATAAATTAAAACTTTCAGTGTCAGGTGACCACAAACCGACGTTGGAGATTTCCAGTCGTTTGGCCTATATTAACAAACACATTTGGGCTCGAAAGGTAATTGTGAACAGTCATTTGGCGGGAAGATAAATTTTTCCCACTCGCTAGTAGTTCCGATGTTGCCCATCAGAGTTGCCAGCCGCATCATATACCTAGGCCGTGAAAGCGAAAACAGGTCTCAGGTTCTCATTTCACGTCATGTCGTTTACTTCCACCTCTTTTTCCCTTGTGACCGTGCACCAAGTTTTTTTTTTCCCCATTTTTTTGTATTCACACCTTCACTAACGAGAATAAAGAGCCAACGAGGATTTATATGTAAAGACGATGAAAAGTTGAGAAAAGGCCCCGTTTTAATGTTTACAGAGTCACAGTAAAACTCAGTATCTTTATTTTTTCATATATATATATATATATATATATATATATATATATATATATATATATATACATACATACCAACAGTGGGTGGAAACAAATATTCGTACACATACAAATTTATAATTTATCGTATTTACAACTAATGAATAAAAATACTTTTCATATAATTAACTGTATACAAATGCATAATTACTAAATATGCACAGAAAATAGAAAAAAATTAGGGACACGGCACATGAAGAAGTGGTACAAATTAATAAATTGTTCAATGAATTTATTTTTTAGAAATGTTTCGGCAATTAAAACAAAATAAAAAGTAAAAATGACGGTGTGACAGAAATACCCTCCCTACATAATGGTAAGACATTAGTTGCAATTGTTTCTTCATCTAACTAATGTCTTACTCTTATTACCAATATCTTCATACGGATAATGATTTACCATGGGGGGGTATTTCTGGTGTTATATGTGGGTGGTTTTTCTACTGCACGCTGTATCATAAAATGGGGAAATAAAATCAACTTTATTTTTCTGACAAATATGATAAAAGAAATAAAAGAAATCCTGGAGTTTATTTTATGTATTGAATCGAACAATTTAAAACAACGAAATACTGTAAATTATTGCGCGATTTAGCCACATTTCACATACGCTTGTTTAACAAATATTATGGTTTTGTGGAATGTCAAAACAAAAACATTCAGCCTGGAATTGTTCATAAACATTTTAAAAATTGTGTCCGAATTTTGACAAATTTGAAAACAACTGTCAATATTCTTGTATTTATAGTAACTGTCCTTGATCTCGCCTGAAATGTTATTAGACAAAATTGGTGTTTTGACTAACAAGAAAAAAAAATTTATCAATAATCATTATCTGTTGCAGCTTTTATAGACTTTTATGAAAAGAAGGCATGGATTTATCAAATATGTAGTCCCTATTACGCCTAACCTTTTCTGTTTGTCAGTATTACTTTAAGTTAATTTCACTTTGTTTTGAATAATTATCAAGTGATTTGGGATCTGTTCGGGAAGCCAAATTACGAAATGAAAAACCGTTAATGTCATCTGGAAAAATCCTCGAAAACACTTCATAGATATTTATTCGCACGACCCCTTAAATTACTCAATTCCTCAACCAACCTTTGGTACTTCCCCTAGGTACGTCATTATCTGGCACCTGAGGCGTGAAGAAAATATCCAGCTTTCACTAGAGGTAGGACTTATAAATTCATAGTGATCACCCAATTCACATCAGTAAACCAATAAATGAACCTTGGTTAGATTATCAGAACGAGAAATAACGAGAAATGGCTAGAGCTATAATATATGCTTTACTTTCGTTTTTGCAACAATGATTTGCGACATATTTTTTCTTCATCACCTGAAACAGTTTTAGATCCCCCCAAAAAGTATTTTTGTTAACTTACAGCCGTGTTCCAAATAAACGAGAACGCTCACGTAGATTAGTTTTTTCATAAGAAGTGCAGCTTTGTCCACCGCTTAGTTGTTTCCGTGAGCACTAAAATCTTAATCTCTTCAAGACAAATCTTTATCTTTTGTCTCCACAAACTCATAATCTTCATTTCCAAGTACCTCATCTTTCATTGATATCACACGCCTCATTCAGAACGTTCTAGTTTGAGTGCCACTCTGGCCTTGAATTTTAGTATAAAATAAAAAGGTATTTATTTTTAAATATAATTTATTTACTTTTCAGTACTGCTAATCCATTCCTTCGTTACACAATGAACGTTCCAGATCAAAATTCAAGCAACTACATGTCTGTCTACGGATGTACAGATACAACCTCATATTCTAAATGTCATGATTCTCGATCTATAATTTGGCATAGATTTTGCTGAATATTAGGTTTACAAAAGTACAGGAAAAACTCCTCCGTTCTAGATTCCGATATTAATTTAAAAACGTCGTTTCAATTTTATTGTTTTGTTATTTGACTGTTGTGATTTACGATCTGATCTCAAATAAACGAAAATAAAACGGATAAAAGTTTTTAATCTCTGGCCAAAAGTTCATTCCTATCAAGTGGCTATTGTTCAAGTGTTTCAATTGCTTCCACTAGTATCACACATGTATAATATATAAAGCTCAAAGTCTGTGTGTGCGAGTGTGTCAACTAGAAACACTGAAAATTAAGTCAATATATACCAAACGTGCTTCTTTTTTTGTGTCTGCGTGTGTGTATGCATGTGCATATATTACGTAAACCGTGATGTCAAATAAATTCGAATTGGCGTTTATATCTTGCAGCAAGTGCCTTATATCTTGCCCCACCTACGGTTTTTGCTTAAAGGTAATAAATTATGGATATTCATCATCTGTACAATCATCATCTCCTTTTTAACTTTCCAAAATATTCTTCAGTTATCCTAGACACACAACAACGATGTAGCCTGGACAACCCTCGGTTCTTTCTGGAGTTTCTACCTTAATTTCTCTTCTTCTATGGAGAGTGTCCCTTCAGGTCGTTGGTGATCATGCTTCTACACAACTTCCTATCTTTTTTAGTTCTTATTTATGTTTATCTTTTTTATTATCCTTCCCTGTCCATGCTCTGCCACCCATTTACGCAAGTTCGTTATGTAGATAAACTTAATCTTTCCCTCTGTCCCTCTTGATTTCAATATGTCCTGGGAGTGTCAAATTTTCCAATCCCTCTTTCCTCATTATGTGTTCTCGAAACTTCAACTGACTCTTTCTGATATTAAGTATAAGTGTCTTTTTTTGTTTTCATTCTTAAAACTTCTTTGTTGCTCACATATTCAATTCATTGTATTCTCAGCATTCTTTTGTGGAAACACATTTCGTTTGGATAAAGTCTTATCTTTAACTGTAATGACATTGTCCAGTATTTACTGCCATAGAGCAGGTAATATATTACATAATAATTGAGCAATCATTTTTTTTTATTTCTAATGAAAACTTCCTGTTTCTTAATATATAACTTAGCTTTAGGATGGCATCTTTCGCTATTCCAATTCGCCTTCGTATTTGGGTGTCTCATTTTCAATCCTCTGTTAAAACACTCAGAAATTTAAATTTTTGTACTTTGTTGATTTTGGTATCTCCAATTCATAGATCGTATCTTGGGATTTTCCTCTTGCTGACAACCATACATTCTATCTTCTTATAATTAATGTTTAATTCTTTTTTTCTAATTTTCCCTTATTATCTCCTCTACGAGCTTCTGTGATTCCCTTTCTGTGTATTTTATCAACACTGGGTCATATGCATGTCGTATATTGCATGTTTTTAAGAATATCCGCCAATAATAAATCCTGATAGGACTTCTAGTTCTCTTAGGATCGCTTTGCTGTGCTGGTAATACTAATAATAATTAACCGTTTCCATAAATGGAAACACAGGGATTTTATTAACCTTGCAGCCAGTATGTTGTCGGTTGAAATTTATAAAATCTTTATTATAAAACAAATTATCAGGGAAATAGTTTTCTCAAGTGCAGTAGTTGTTATCACTCTTTTCAATACTGATGGGAGGTTTCCTTTTATTTAGGTGGGATGTCACCATCTTGATTATGTCCTTATTTTCTTTTCGAGTTACATGGGATATCCATTTTAGTTGTTACTGCTGTTGAAAGCCCTCAATTGATGTAGTTTCTGTTATCTGGTACAGTCCTTTGTTTGTGAGTCTGCAGTGCCAGTTCACAATTTGGAAACAATTATGATTTCGCCAACACTTACAGTCTTCACTTGCGCAAAGCCATTTTTAACCACTGATCTGAGAAAGTGGTTGTATACAGCTGACAGTTTAGGTATTTCTGAACGGGTTAGGCTCCGTGCATGACATCCACATGGAAGTCTCGATCTAACTAGACTATTTAAATCACAATTCGTTTCAAGGTTAATGTTTTGGTTTTGTAGCAATGTGCGGTGTTGGGTGAAACTACCTCTGACGCAGCCTATTCCATATTTAATTTGTTATAACTGATCCATAACCCGAGGTATTTGAAGTGTTTAGTATTGACTAATTCCACATCCCGAATGTTTATCATGGATTCAGTGTAGGGCCAATACTGCTTTCCTTCCCATTCCAGACCATAGTTTAAAAAAGTTTAACTTGAGTCGCATTTCTTGGCACACTTTGTTGGAGAATCATATTTAAATGAAAAGGACATCGGAAAAAGAATATTGGTACAATTGGTAGTTCTCAAGCGATCTGGTTTCTGTTATTTGGTACAGTTCTTTGTGAATCTGTAGCATCAGTCCAAATTGTCTAACGAAGCCCTTTTTAAAGGCTGATCTTTAAAATCGGTTGTATACAGCAGACATTTAAATATTTTTGAATGGGTTTGGCACCACGCATGACATCCATATGAAAGTCCCGATGCGATGAGTCTTTTTAAGAAAATGACTCGAGTTTTCAGTTTAATGTTTTGGCTTTGTAGCAATGTGGGCTGTTGGACGAAACTCCCTCTGACGCAGACTATTCCATATTTGATATCCTTTTCTTCTGTAATAAATTTGTTATAACTGATCTATCCTCCGATGTATTTGAAGTGTTTAGTATTTACTAATTCCATATCCTGAATTATTATGATGGATTCAGTATAGGTGCCATAAGTGATTTCATTCCAATTCCAGATCCTAGTTTGTGTTTTAGAAGTATTATCTTGATTCCCAATTCTTAGAACAATTTGTTGGGGAATCTGATTTAAAAGAAAAGGACATACGATATGGAACATTGGCGCAATGCAATCTTTTTTGCTTCTTTTTGCTCTGACATGCAATATCGTTTCTCCTATACGGCATTGATTGCTGGACTGTGTTTTGTGAAATTATTTCTAGCGCAGCCTGTCTATGTTCACTTGTGAGAAGGCACATCCTTGTCTTATGCCACTTTCTATATTTGTGTATTGACTGAATTCATTATCTATCCGCATATTAAGCGGTTTGCTCCCAGTCAAATTTCGGGAGAGTTTTTCTTCTACACGACAATTAGATTTGGTCTTATAACCTAAGGCATGCTGTCAAGAAGGCTCTTCAAAACTGAAAAATGTTTTAGGGAATCCCCGCAGTGTAAATGATGGTAATTTCTGAAAGTCTACAATCTTGCTTTCAGTTCCACTTCACTCTTAGTAGTTTTCTAGATGGTGTTCCAAGCGCACCTATTACGACAATAATTTGTTCTACATTCATGTTCCATCATTTCTTCATTTCCCTAACAAGATTCTTTATTATTATTATTATTATTATTATTATTATTATTATTATTATTAGATTTTCGCTATTGTCACACTACATAGAAAGTCTGCGGGAAAACTTAAAGCAGGTAATGGTATGTTGTTATGGCTATATTTCATGATTTATTTTTCAAACTACCATAATATAACTAGCGTTACATGGACAAAGTTCTTTTAGTGTGTGGTCTGTACTTATCAAGACAAATTTTTGTATTTCTCTTAAGCCTGGATTTTCAGGGATTTCTTTTTTTAATGTGTTGTTTTGTTTTTTTATCATTCCAACCTACTCGTACGATTCTTGTTTTTAATTTTCACATTTTTCTATTTCGATTTACAGGTCTGTATACTTCGATAATTTTTCAAATTTCTTGGTTGCTACGTTACAGTCTGCTGGGCAAACGATATCAATTAGTAGGCAATTTGTTTTTCATGTCCAGCCTGTTTGCGTCAATCTTCCTGTCTGTAAAAATGGTGTAATCCCACAGAATTATTATGACTTTTTCTCCTTATTCTTGTTCTTATTCTTACTGTTAATTTTATAGTATAAATTGTTTCGTAAAATGACTTCAGCAGAAAAAAATATTCTGGATTCTCGCGCGTACTCGAGGATGAGTTTTTTGATAATGAAATACAAGCGCTTAATTAACTAGGAGAGTTTACAGCAATTATAACATCAGCGGTAATCGCTCTTTTACATACGTTTGAAAAGCTTTCCCTCGCTGCCTTTATTCTTCTGAACAGAAGTCAGAAACAAATGATCGTCTTTTATTTCTATCCGAATCCGGGAGCTGCCGTAGCGCGACCGTTAGATAGATCGTCTCGAAGACCAGCATGTCAATATACTGAGGTCAATCAGCAGAGTACCTCACTACTCTGGACAAGTCTCAATCTAATCTACCCCTACCTGGTCGTATTTAACTATGGATCTATATAATAATATCAGTCACAGGAATGCTGACTAAAGAACAAATGGTAATAAGCTATTTTCACAGACTGACTGACTGTGGCAATGAATTCGATTCATTCTGATTAGCCTACTAATGGATTCTTTGTACCAAAATGAAATCAATCTTTCTAAAGGACTATTCGATCGGCTTAAAGTTATATTTCAGTCTGTTTATTAAGTTTTCTCATGTCTATCTATCTATCTATTTGTCTGTCTGTCTGTCTAGTCGGTGCAATAGATAAATTGTCGTCTAAACTACGGAAAAAATGAAAATAACACTGACAAATTTATTTACAAAAATTAACGGATATATTTACCAAAATTACACAAAAATACTTGAAATACTAAAGAGTAAATTTATTCAATAAAATCGTCATTCACTTCAACGACGGCCTCCAGACGACTTCGGAATCTCTTCTGGACGCTCTCCTTGTTTAAGTTGGTGAATGCTTCTATAATCCTTGCCTTAAATTCATCTTTGGTGTTACAAGAGGTTTTGTTAGTCTCTTGCTCAAATGCGCCCCACGCATAATAATCAAGCTGGTTGCAGTCTGGGAAGTTACGTGATCAAATTTAAGCGGTTATGTTCCTCGCAGAAATTGTCTGACAGCCATGACTAGGTTTTCCTGCTTCTGTGGCAGGGTGCAGAAACCTGTTGCCAGACATAGGATCTTCCAGCAGCCACACGCTTGACCGAGGGCAGCACTATCTCCTCAAGTCACATGATGTAGGCCACGGTGTTGCGTTTGAAACCCTCAACAACAAATTCTGGTGTTCTTTTCTTATCAGAATGATCAGATTGAGTTTTCCGAGCTGCCGTACCTTCATAATCACCATTAGATTCATTCAATTCTTTACGATTCATCTGCATTGTCCTCAGATTGACACCCAAACAATCTGAAATGTTTATATTGGAGCTTCCGACACGACTGCCAAGTAGAGCAGCATGCCGTTTCCAAATTTTGGACGGAATGAATTGTTAATCACGGTACTCTTTTTCTCACAGACGGCGTCCAACTAATCCTACTATACTGCGTAGTCGATAAAATCGAAAACAACCAACACGTTGCCCATCGCATCCTTTATCTATCTATCTATCTATCTATCTATCTATCTATCTATCTATCTATCTATCTATCACACTATCTTCATCTATCTCATTCTTCATCTATCTATCTATCTATCTATCTATCTATCTATCTATCTATCTATCTATCTATCTCAGTCTGCTGACTGAGAGGTATATATAGAAAATAAATACGAACAAATAAATAACGCTAATATTTGGTAACAGTATTTAACCTTTAAAAGCAGATACGTTTCTTCTTCTTTTATATGCTGTCTCTTCAGGAACTGAACGATTTTGGCTCTCCACAACATCCTATCCTTTGTACCTCTAAGCAATATTTATCCCATTATTATCCCTTCTAGTCTTTGTCCTGCCACATATTTATACAAGCTCGTTATATGGGTTAATGTTTCCCATTGTCTCTCTTGACTTCAATATATCCTGCGATTGCCAAATTCTCCAAATCCCATTTCTTCATTATGTGTCTCACACTAAGTAGAAGTGTCTTATAAAGGCTTATTCTTTCCGAAAACCTCTCTACCACAGATTATGCCCTATCCGCAGGGCATGAAACACGCCAACTGCATCCCTTGAAGAGGTATCAACTCATGGCCTAAGTGGATGATTGCAAGCCCAACTTTAGAGACGACCAATTTATACATTTTGACTCAAATATAAACACGGCAAAATGTTTATCTTTGACTCAAATATAAACCAGGCCAATGTTTAGTCATTAACTCAACTATAAGCAGGACCAATATTTATAAGCCCAGAACATAAACTCACCTAATGTTTAACTTTTAACACAAGTATAAACCGAATCAATATTTACCTATAGGTTCAAGTATAAACTCAACCAATTTATATCTTTTGAGATCACTCTATTGGCTGGGGCTTTAGAATACGCCGACTGCACCTATGCTGCGTGGTAAAACTCCCTTATCCACAATATGGTCACCTTTTTCCGTGGGCGGTGACCCGTAATGCCTGTGGGCGGAATCCTGGTCGGCTGAGCACTCCAAGACCCGGGTGTATAAGTGGTTACGTGAGAGACAACACTCCTCTTTGATCCTTATTTGGGCTATACGGGTATTCGGAGAGGCCCGATCTGATCAATCGGCTGGTCACGTCAAGCTTGAGCACCGATATAATTAAGTACAACAATTTCTCACAAAATGATCACATAACGATCTAACACTCAACCCTTCATTATTTTAAAACTCTGAGATCAACATAATATCCTACCTTAAAAAAACAGGATTATACCAAAATATATAACATCTAAAATAGACATATCTCTCTCTCTCTCTTTTCTCTCTGTCTCTCTGTCTCTCTCTCGTTCTGTACGTATATATATATATATATATATATATATATATATATATATATATATATATATATATATATATATATATTTTTTCCGATGTTTAACCTTTGTCATTTGTGTGTAGTTGCAATCCAAACTACTACGCACAAAAGATAATTTTTAAACATCGGAAAACATGAGGAAAATTCATTCCTTTTAATAATATGTGGAAATAACCACTTTTTGCCTGATGAATTTCATAACCGGAAACGCATGTAGCAAAACTATGGTAAATAAAGCATAATATATATTTTTTAAAAATATAATCAAAAACGTTTATGGCTTCTGTCTTTTCTTTAAAATATACTTTTACTCTCGTCGGACTATAACCCCTCCCATATATATATATATATATATATATATATATATATATATATATATATATATATATATATATATATATAACATTCATTTACTCTGAAAGTATAAATTTATGTAGAAAATATGTGTAGATGAAGCCATTCAATTGCGTACAATGTATTTACAATTTGCCATTAAATAACCCATAAAGGTGTTGATATGCCATAAAACAAAAATAACCAAACCAAACATTTTGAGTCATGAATAGACCAACTAATGTTTATTTTTTGACAAATATAGAACTCATCAATATTTAACCTTGGAGCTATTGGTTTGTAACTTGATTTTGTTTAGCCGCATATCAACACCTCTATGGGTTATTTAATGCCGAAATCTAAATATTTTGAACACAATTATATAGCTTCAACTAAATATATATAAAAATAGGTATTGTTGTTAATTTTATTATAAATAAATGTTATGGTATTTTTTATATAAAAATGGTTATTTATACTTTCATAATGTTTTATTTTCGTTTGTGAGTTCATTATTTGCCCATAGCTGAGACCCTAACAGTTGCTACTACCCCGGATCAGAGTGGACCTGGTAACAATAACAATTAAGAGGTGATTCCATTCTCCTCAAAACCTCCAATTTCCCGATCAGAGAACTTGCTGCTGGTTGTAGTTTATCGTCATACCCAGGACTGCCAATGGTGTTAACAATATAACTATAAATTCTTTGTGATTTTTTTGCCCTATAAAATTTATATTCGATATTGAATTACGCAAGGATTGAAATATCGTTATAATACCGTTACGCAATCACACATTCAAAAGGTTTTGCATATTTGTTTTCTAACGACATTTAAAAACCACTAGATTCTATTTTTCCGGTCACGTCAATAACGTATTTCCTGCACCGCAAACGAGTCTTTAAGGTCAAATGTTGAGAGGAAAAAAATAGATTTATTTTATATCTATTAATAAAATTAATATTTCAATTCTTGTAAGAATCTCATGGTCTCGTGGCCAAAAGTTTTTTTTTTTTTTTTTGTTTTCTGTTTGCATTACTGACATTTGTCATATGTATTTACTTATTGTGTTCTGATCATGTGTGGCCTGGTATTACTTATAAATACAGGGAGTTGAAAAAGTAGATATACAGTATTTTCAGTATAATAATAATAATTATTCATCCTGAACTGACGTTTCCATTTCAGTCACTTTCCCACCGCAAAAAATTTGCTTTCCTGGGCCTTTTCTATAAATACTTTCATGGTAATTGTTCGGATAATCTCTTTGATATGGTACCTAGACTTTATGAATTTAAGCGCAGTACTAGATTAGCAACAAGGTCTCATCGATTTACAGTTGAAATCGCAAGATGTAACCGCAAGTTCTACGCTGACAGTTTCTTTACTTGCACTTCTCGCTTGTGGAACTCTCTTCTGGCTTCTTGCCAAGTCAACTTTGATCTTCAAAAATTTAAATGCAATGTCAATCGTTATTCACTGTCTTCCTGATTGCTCTTTTATTTTTCTCGCTCCTCAATAATGCTTCTGTTTTCTAATTCTTTTAGACCCAGTAACTCCTTGTCTATAAATAGCTTTATTTCCTTGGTTGGACTAATTTGATTAAAAAGACAAGTAGTTCTAGGATTTATTTAATACTAGATTTCATTTAATTAATTAAACTCATTTTTAATATTTTTATTTTCATAATTTTCATTATAATATATTCATTATAGTTTTTTTTTACTTGCGTAAGTTTTGTTTTTCATTACTGTCCTACTTTTGCATGTATATGTGTAATTTCAGAGTATACGCCTCCTAGGTGGCATATTTGCATAAACACGATATCTTGAGCAGTAGGTCCTGATGTCTGGGAAGGCCAGTTTTTGTTGTTTTTTTTCAGCAATCTACATGCAAACTTACTTGGGGCTCTATGTTAAACCGAACTTGTGTCATTTGGCCTCGTAAGTAAAGGATAGGCGATTAAGTGTTTTATTTGTATAAGTTTTTATGTTTGCTTCTGATTTTCCTTCGTTTTTTTCTTTGCTTTTTTTTTTTTTTGAATCACGGTTCTGCCGACATGGAGTTTTTTCTGTTTTCTTGTCCTCGCAAAGATTTTTGGTTAACAAAGGTACACAT